AAAAATAGAGAAACAAAAGACAAACTGAATCGTGAGTGTCCACTACTAAAATGTCCATGCAGTCGGCAAAATAAGAAATGTTTGTACCCCTTGACCTGCTTCTTAATATTCAAGTCTTCAAAAAACAACTTTCTACCCCTATTCCTGCATCGTTATCAATAAGTCATCTTCTATTTTTGAAAAACTTTAAAGGGGTATTCCGCTTTTTTGTAGGTCGAAAATGTTTTTTGCTCAAATTTGTGAAAACTATACTCCAAAATCTAGAGAAATGAGCCCTTCGACGTAAGTTTTAAATAAAAAAATCCAGTCGTTAATTTTTAAACTCCAAAAATATTTAAACACATCAGGCCTATGTAACGTTTTTACGTTCGTTATGCTGTTAGAAAACTACTTTAAGGATTTGAGTAAAATAAACGCTTATTGTAGAGAAAAGGCTTTAAAGGTTTCAACTAATGATATTGAACCATTAAGCCAAACACCAAAACTAAGTCCAACTTCTTAATTAACAATTAGTACTCCTCGTTTTTAATCAACCCTTTTAAAACAAATTCAGTTTGATCAAGAAGATACATAGATATTAATAGCACACTACATAGAAATATTTTCAGGTATAATTTAAATAAGCAGTAAAATTTCACTAGACTTCTACTATGTAAGTCTGCAAATTGGCATTCCATATATGCTTCATTTTATTGGTCCATTACCACAACCATATGTCATGCTAAGAAATAAGTTATGTTTCAATTACAGAATTCATTATCATTGGTGGTGTAATATTGGAGTGAATCCCACGACAGTCTGGCAGAACACTGACATTAAATTAGCTGCAGACCTTTCTCTTATATCAATTATACATACATAATGCTACCATGGTGGTTCTCATTAAACAATGTTTCTATAGAGTAATATCACCATCTTGCAGTCCTAATTAGAGACAAATCCGGTTTGAACTCAAAACCGTCGATTGTTTTCATCGTATAAAAATAAAGAAATATGTGTATATTAGAAATTGTGTCATGTTCAAATGTTAAAAAATTGCTTTTCACGTATTAATTTGTCTTCAGAATTTTTATTTTTGTTATAAATGATGAAAAGAGAACATATTAATATGCCAAGTGGAAGATAAACGCATGGGATCTGATATACACTTTTTCTTTTTCCAACGTTATATGTGTTTGCATAGTCATAAAATAATTCCACGAAGCTATATTCGATGGTTTAATCGCAATAAATCGTATCGTTAAACGAGTATCGTTCAGTGTATCGGATCGCCACTTTAGGAATCGTTGCAGCCCTATTTCTGAGACGTTATTATTTCAATTTGTTATATTATATAATTGTGTAACTGACTAAGAAGAATCTCGAGTATTTTTTCGACAGATAATATTAATTTTCTCAATTACTTTCTGACTGTCGTCTGTTCTACTTACTATATCTAATATTAAGGATAAATGAAGTTGAATCCATCAATCGGGACAAAAGGAATTATTTATACTGCTTTCAGGCCTGTTACGTTCCTGCGACATACTTTATATGAAATACCAATTTCCTTAGAAGACTGGATCGGTGACCATCATGAAATTTATACGTGGTCAATTTATCACATAGAGAAGTAAGGTTAATGACATTCAGTCATTTAATTGGACAATTTGATATTATATGTCTGAAAGGATAGCTATCTTGTATGTCCAGACCGGTTTCGTCTTCGTCTTCGGTCAAACAAGGATACACAATCTTTATGAAAGTAATAAAGCAGTATTAAACAGTTCAAAGTACTATTTCATAGTAATTCTCTTAGAAGAGTCCACTACTAAAGAACTTTTATTCTCGATTTTGCCATTCTTTTGACGAGATTTTGATAAACGGAATTGTCTTGCTTGTGGTCCTATTCACCATTTCATAGTAATTCTCTTTGGAGGAGTCCACTACTATACTATACTTTTACTCTTAATTTTGCCATACTGTGGACAAGATTTTGATCTGACTTGTAGGGATTTTTATTATGATATTCCACGAACATCTTAATCGAGGTTTTTTGAGAAATCAATTGAAAACAATCCAAATCATCCTTGCTGCTATATATTTAGATCTTACATCTTAGACATGTTTAGTAATTATTAAGGTATGCATTTTTAATGTATGTTAAGGTATACAATTAACAAAAGTAATTGGTTTAGCATGGCGATAATAACCTAAACGACCCCATTAATTAATAAGTATCATAATCATATTGGCCAATGAACAAAGATAAACACTACCGGATCGACTAGTATAAGGCATTCTTACTATTTTAAGACATCACAATTTCGTATGTCGAACGCCATTTCCCACCGTAATAGAGAAATACATTTTTACATTTTAGAAGACCAAGCCGTAGTCCCCAACGTAAACGTGGCTCCATTGGCTCAGATGGAAAATCAAATTAAAAAACTTACAGACGATCGTAAAATGTCAAGTAATTATTAGCTTTTCACTGGCCATTCTTTCAAACCAGTGAAATATGGCTAATTTCAGATTCGCTTTTATTTGACGCGAACAATCAGTTGGTGTGTATGGTAGATTGGGTCTTTTTATTACAAACTTTCCAGAAATAAACGGTTCTACTATCAACATTAATTTAGTGGTAAGATCTCGACAGACTACATCAGTGTTGTATTTACATAAGCTGTTGCTGACTATTATTTAATAAGGTTTAAATAACCAATGCGGTTCTTATCAACCATTCAAACTGTTGGTTATTTCTTACAAAACCAATATATTCTTATCTTATTCTTATTACGCAGTTAATAAATAACCCGCAATGTTGTTTTGAAAGTCATTTTTAGTTGTCAGTAACGTGATGTTAACACAGTCAACTTTTTGTTCACCCTTAGCCTTCAGCAACCTAACTGTTCTCACAGAGCAAATATTTTAACCAAGTCGAACCTCTGATTAAATTGTTGGAAACAAATTGAAAGATTTCTTGGCGGGAAATATTGTCAGTTTTTGAGTAAATCACTATAAGAACAGGCTGAAAAAGGATGAAGAGCCGGATGTAAAGATGTATCTCTCTTTGTCTTGCTGAATGAGCAGAAACGACTGGAAAACTGAAAGAAACAAGGCCGGAATACTACCAGTTTCTTCCATTCATTGCATGCAATGGCGTATTACTCACAACTCCATTCTCAGAGGTAAGCCAGATGATGGCAGCTTCAACAAAAACGGCCCCTGAAAGCTGCTGATTGAGCATGGTGACTGCATGGGGTGATAACACAGGCAACCGTTTCCAACTGCCTGGTTACCAATGTATGATTACAGATGGTTTGAAGTGTGTATATCAACAAAGATCACAATGTATCATATAATATTTTAATGGTCCATCAAATACACAACAAATACCTAATGAACTGATAGAACATGAATGAAATATGTTGCACAAAGCAAGCTACAGTCGTATGGGAATCCTCCTTAGGGAGTTAACAATTTACATTAATACTTGTTTAATTTAATGTGGGATATTGTGAAAATTAAAGAGCAAACGTGGATATAATAAAATATGTAATAAAAGAAAATATCATTAAAGATTAAAAAGCTGGTCTACGTAACCATGATGACTGTCTAGACAATCATGATTGTGAAATGGATTGGTGAGCAGGTTTATAGCCACTATGGTCAAGTTGGAAATATTAAGTAGCTAATAACTAATAAAGGTGATAAATGGTCATAAGCAATTGGTTCGTGATATGAAACGGATATTAGACACTTCTTTCGCTTACTGTTAATCCATGCCAGTTAAACAAACATAACCAAGCAAAAATAAAGATTACCATTAACAATATTGACACCTTTCACTTATGTTAATCGATGACAGATAACCAAACCAAACCAACGATTACCATACAACAGAAGTACCATGATAACAACGAAGAAGATCGAAGAAGACCGAGCAACTGACGCTACAAAGGGTTGAGGTTCACAGTCGATACGACCAGATCTCACTATTTATTAACTACCTAACCCACAGCACAGAATCATCAAAATTGAAACAATCAACAAGAATTTCCTCGATCACAAGGAGGAAGAACGAAGAAAATCAAGTAACTCACGTTACACTACAAAACGCCGAGGTTCACCGTTCACCAAAGATATCGCAGCCATCAAACAAGATCAAGATCCAACTACAACGACTTGTTATTAAATCGACCACGTATTTTGATTAATAGTTTGCTAGTCAGCTGTATTTACTGAATGTCTTTGCGGGGCGTAGTGCTATCTCATCTTAGTTACTGATTTGTCATCTCATCATTCTGTTCTGAGAAATTGGTTCAATTGTAGTGTTTTCTCTAATAAAAAGGCAAAATATCAATGGACCAGGATGAATTCCCACAGATCATTTCTTCGTTTCCAAGAATTCTGCGACTCCCAGGAGCCGAGTATTGATTAAGCCACGCCGCGACATAAATCCTTTATATACAAATCTGATTGTCACGTGCATTGTGTTGGTTAATTATTGTATACATTCTGGAGCCAAATCCAGGCCGAGACTATATTCTCTTTAAGAACCATAAACGCTAGATATCTACATACTTCAAAACAATGGTTCCCCCAGTTGTTCTTTTATAACTTATCAGTTTAACACCAGGATTGTGCGTATTTGTGTAACATAAAGACAAGGGCTATCTGGAGAATTTTGGAGAATCATCTTTTAAACTTCCGTGGTATGGTTTCTAGAAAATCGGACTTGGGATTCTTCTGAAAGAGTGGCACGTATAAAGGCATGATTGGGCTTATCGAAAGGTGATTATTGTATTGCGAGGACCATGTTTCTATATTGCACACTGAATGGCGCCGCCCGTATTACTTTTCTGTATTTACCAATTTTATTCATTTCCGAAGCAAGATGAAAGAATATCGACAGAACCTGTAAAATAAGCGTATTTGATCATAATGGACCAACCCTTTTATGTCGCCAAAAATGATTGATCTACTTCCTACTAATCGTCAGGAAATGAGAAAACACAGACATTTGTAAGTTTAATTGTCTAAATAATGTTAATAAATCAGATGATTTAGTGTGGAAAATAATTCAAGGGAGGTCATCAAATACCATGACAAATTTAACCGTTACCACAATAATGTTTTAATGCTGACGTGTTTATGACCTGAGTATGGACATGTTTATTTAGACAGAGAGGTAATATGTTGACAGATTTAAAGCAAAAATACATGTAATGATCTGCTGTAACTTCAGAGTTGACAAACTTATTAGCAGAATGTTCAAGAAAGTGAGCACAATAGATGGTAACAGACAGTAATACGTAAAGTGTGTTTCAATAGTGAATATTCAAAATAAATGATATTACAAACCAATCACAGAGTAGCATCAGGGGTACCAAATGCGCCCGGAAGGTTGACCTCGGAAATCAGCAGAGATGTGTTAATTTTCTGAACATATTTTCCCCGTAAAATATCAAATATAAATTTACACATAATTTTTTTTTGACCATTCTTTTGCTCCTTGATATTTACATCTATCTGAGTCTTAGTGTAATTAGTAGGGTCACAAGGGTTACAACGAATTCAATAATCAGAGAAGTCGAAGTGACTCTCGCAGAAGCATTAGTGAAAGTGGTTTTACAATTTTCAAGTTCGCTCATTTTATAATACTTGAATCCACAGAGAATAGATTCTTCGCAATCAGTATCACATTTTCCCGAATTACCGGCAGACACATCTTTATACTTGTAGTACATCTGTATTAATGATCTATCCTTCGTCATTCTCTTAGCCAGATCATCTATGGATGCAGCACCTACGTCTTTAGTTTTGTAAACGTCATTAAAATCATACTCTAGCTTCCATTCTGTTTTATTTTTAGAGTTGCTGTCTGGTAGGTCGATATAGTACATTTTGATATTCAATGGTTCTCCCGTTGTTCTGTTATAACTGACTAGTTTAACACCAGGATTGTGTGGGTCGCCAGTCTCCTCTGGTATTTTATATCGCCATGGTGTAACGGATGGTGCTGAATGAATAGGGAATGCCGGTTCATCTGAAAACACGAAAATTGGAAAGGTGAAAAATAGGTTTTTAGGAAGCTACGATGATTTCGGCTTATTTTGGACTATCCTTATGAATGTGTGTTCGGTAACGAGCTGTCAAGGATTCGTAAGATCAAACCAGCTTCCGAAAAAGATCTGCTGAACAAGCCCACAATAGATTTATCAAAACAGATATAAAACCCTATTATCAACAAAAATTCAACTTAAGACCAAATTAAATAATGATACTCCATAGACCAAGGCATAACCTGCTTGGTTACAGCAAGGTCGATAAATGGCAACATGACCAACGCATGATTCTGCGTATTTCCAGCAAACTAACGCACTACCTGACGTAGTTACAGCACGAACAACGCCTGACCCGATGTAGTTACAGTCAAAAAACACATTTCCCGACGTAGTTACGGCGAGAACAACGCATGCTCCTCCATAGTAACAAGATAAGCACACGATTTCGATAGTAAATTTATGCACTATATGATTTGATAAATTCTATTCAATATCTACTTTGTAATATAACAAAGTTTGAAACCTTAACCACTGATAACCAATGTTTACCTTTCGAATTATAGTACACCTTAAAACCATCACTATGATCATGTCCATAATACATTCCCACTATAATACCACTATCTACATGTTTATCTATGACTTCCAGAAATTTATCATTGAATTGTTTATAAAACCAAACAATATTGGCAGGTGTATGAATTCCTGGAGGTATATGAGCTGTTATTATAACCTGTAAGATAGCGGATAGATGGGTTATGAATTGTATCCCAATTAAGGATGCAGCACGATGAAAAAGTTGTTTAATGCAGATTACTACAGATTATGTAGTATTTATTGCAGTAGATCCACTTTATCATGCATCTTGAATGAAATGGCAAACGAATTTGGGAAGTTACATGTACAACAGAAAGGTACGATGCTCTACAGTATTCGACCACATTAAGGTATACTGATATACTGCTTCTGGATTTATTACATATTACTCTTCTCGAAACACATACAGGTAACGTTATCAAGTAAAATGATAAACAACATAAAACAACAAAATATATAAAATGTAATAAATTCAGAAGTAGTATAACCATGTAATCTTGTGTTCTTAATGTTAACCTTCCTACTTATATATGTCTCATAAATATTATATTCTAGATTAAGATGATTATTCAAAATACCTCGACGTGATCTGAAAGTCACAATCGGAATCAAAGTCAGGGCACTGAGAATATTTGTAAACAGATAATATATATAGATAAGATGTAAATTACCTTTTCTTTATTGGTTTTGGCAGCAGCAAGTTGTTGATCTAACCATTGAAACTGGCCAGCAGGGTCCGTTACATTAGGTGTCACTTTATTTGAGGTATAATATAGATTAGTATTTAATCCAAGGATTCTTAATCCATGCACGGTCTTCAGAGAGTAATATGCAGCTGAAAATGAAAAAAATTAGCAACCGATTCAATTTATCACCATATAACCCTCGCTTTCTGACAACAGATCACGATCCAAACCGCAAAATACAACCTGGAACCCAAAACAACATTTTAGCAATACAATGGTAGTAGCTAATGAACTTTTCATATGAGGAAGGAAGTATATCAATCATAAATGAGTATTAGGAAATAAATCATAATGAAAAGTGTTATCGGGTTTCTAGAAGAGAAAGCATAACTTACATGTTTTGAACTGATTAACTTGTGCTGTCTCTCCTATCCAGTCTTTCCACATATCACCAATCTGGTTATAAATTTCGTTAGTTGTTGGTGGGAACTGGTTATTTGGTAAATAGTCGTGATTACCCAGGGTGGCATAGACTTTAATTCCAGGGAAGTTCCTTTTCAACTCATTGGTAATGTTATTTATGGAATCAATGTTCATTTCAAGCGTTAAATTCTCATCCTTGATATGAGCTATATTGTCCCTATATTTGAAGAGTTTAAAATGATTGGAAACATGTTAAATGAATTACCGAAATGATATTATGAGCTATTACCTCCGAAAGACATCAATTGTAGGGGGACTTAAGGTGTTCCGAAAAGGTTTACACATTATGTAAAGCCAGTAAGCTGTATGATTAAATTTTTATCCCTTATGTTCAATCTGAAAACATTCTTTTTTGGACATGCAGGTTGTTCTGTAATGAGTCAAATATTGTGGTAAAGTTAAAGGGAGTATAGATTCTCGAGCAACGGGGCATCCTTCCATCATGTCTTTTGTGAAAATTTGATGTTTTAATGCTGTATAGAGTAAGGCAAAATCCTGATTTTAATAATAATTTGTAAACCAACAATGAGTGTCGTAAACACAGGTTTCTTAAGTATAACTTCAATACGATAGGATATTTACTTTCAGCAACCTTTAATACAAACGCAATTGTCTGATTATATTCTTCTAATTAAAAAAGAACTGGGCATTGTGAATATATACTCTTATCATATATAATCATTTGCGTTGGCCTGGGTATGAATAGCAAATAAAGAAGTAAACAGAATTTACCCAGTCCATAATACGAAATCCACTTTAGACTTGATACCTTTCATGCCTTCAATGCTGTCTTTGATAAGTAACCATGGTGAATCACACCAATAGTCACCAAAAATACCTGGTGACGTCACCACATCGTTACATGACAGCTGATCAGTCCAATAAGAAAAATCATAATGAAAATCTGTTACATGCCAAAACCAACCTGAAATTTCAGAATGGCGAAAACATATTCATTGATGAATCAGATTTACGGTAGGTGTAATCCATGGAATTTATTCACGGTTGCCGGCGACCAAATCGATCTAACGGGATTAATCTCGAAACCCTTGGCATAGCCATCGACAGAAAGACTGTAAACATAAGAGAGTGTTGTTTACAGACTTTCTGTCCTAGTCAAGGAAGTTTGCTATAGCTTGACAATGTAATATACTTAGGGCCTGGTTATATGTGAGTCGAGGACCAGCATTTGAGAAAATCCGTAGAAACGGACTAAAGTGACGTCAGACTCGAGTTACCCTGCAAACCGAGCCAGCTCGGCTCACAGGGCTGACCCGCCTCATATAACCAGGCCCTAAATGAAGATCGTTATAGCTTGACAGTGTGATACACTAGATGTTTGTGTATGCTTAGTAAAGCTTCCCTGACCTTGTTAATTGACCGGACAAACAAGATTTGTCTCTAACAGAATGTTTTAAATATACTTATTTATCTATTTATTCATAATTTTTGTCTTAGAAAAATTACATTCATGACATGGAGAAATTACGATTTGGGACCGGAGCAAAAAAGCAGAAAAGTCGAAAGGACAACCCTTAAAGCTCGAGTGTATATCCTCATTAGCGTATTTTCATTGGGTATGTATATATGCTATGACATGATGATATTGTGCGCATGCTATTATGAACAAATCTACGTACCAAATAGTTTAGTTGTGTATACAAGGTAAAAGCGAGACATATAATAATGAATGTATATAAATATGACGCATTAGAAGTAAGGTCGCTGCAACGATACAGTTATTGATATCGAAATTTTGTCACAAATAATCACACCAAAATAAATAGGTTACATTATTAAGTAATAAATTTGAAACAAACTCACCAACATCTTCAGCACAATTTACAATGGTAAAGCAAAGGACGAAAATCGCCAAACGAGACATTATTTTTGACTGACTGAACAGTTGTCCGAGTGTGGTGATGTGTTATCTCTTCATATCTCTATTTGAAACAATACTCCAATACTCACAGTGGTGGCGTCAGTGAGAATACAGGGCGCATGTGTTTTCCAGAAAAAATTGTACACTCGCTTCATTTCTGTGAACGCCCCATTAAGTTTAATTGTTCCCCATTTGCACACCCCCACGCCCCCCCCCCCCCCCC